CTCCTCCTCTGTCCCAGCAGGAAGAAGAAGAAAGCCCTCGGCAGCAGCAGAGCCTCTGACCGGCAATGCCCTCGCAGCTCCAACATGTCCCACTCTCCCTCCTGCAAAACAAATCAAAACACTAACGGGGGCCAAGGCTCCCGCTGTCAGCCACAATCACCAGGGCTGCTCGCAAACGCTTTTTGCCATCGCTGCCTACAGCCACAAGGATGCTAAAAGGCTGAGGGCAGGGGTCCCCGACTGGCACCCCAGCACCCAAGGGACCACCAAGCACCAGCGGGGCCAGAACCCCCCCAGGATGTCCCCTGTTGTCTCCCAGTGCTCTCCTGGCACAAGTAGTCAGCAGCTAAGCCTAACCCCCACCCAAAGGGAAAAGCTTTTCAAGGGTCGTCTCAAACTTTTTGTGCATCCTCAGAGCGGGGTTGCAGCCCCTGCAGACACCACTGCTTAATCCTGTCTGGATCAGCAGGGAAAGGCGGGGAGCCCCGACAAACCCAATTACCACCAGCACGGCACTGCCAGCCCCGAGACCTGCCACGGCACGGCACGGGAGGAAACGTTTCCTGAAGCTCCACAAACAACACGTCCTTGGGGACTTTTATTTCAAGGTTCCTGACTGTTGAAGTAAATGAGCCTCACGTTAAAGAGCAGCTCCACTGCAAACCCTCTGCTGCCAGGACGGCGTCTGCGGAGGCGATCGCTTCCTCCCAGCCACAGCCATCATACGCTAAGTGACACCACCAGCAATGTGTTTACCTCCGTATTTTATCTTCCATCAACCAACGCTTTGCCTTCCCATCAGGAAAAATGACTCTGAGGTGGAGCAGCAGCGATAGCTCCCGACGCTGACACCTTGTAAAGGCTCCCCAGGGAAACGCCGACGGCCGCAGCGCTGGAGGCGATTCAAAGCAGCCCAGACCAAGTCCCTGGATGCACTGCAGGGAACAGTTTGGCCCAGGAAACTCCAGGCAGGAATTGTGCTCATTAAAACACCTGGAGATGCACTTACAGCAGACTTCCTACGCATGGCATCCCATTGTGCTGGGCTACAAGGAGGCGATGCTCCTCCATGGAAGCATCTTTTAGGGGTTCCATGGTACCCTGTGTGCTGGGCTGTCACTCTAGTCACCACTGAATCTCCTCACCCTCAGGATTGAGGATTTTTAGGATTCAGCAGAACCCACACCACACACAAGAAAACTTCCCTTGCAATAGCTGGAAGCATTACACCAGGACTCCCTGCCAAAAACCACAAAAGTTCCCACCCTAAACCAAACTTCCAAGAAGCTTCCAGAGGGAATTTCTCCTCCCCATGATCTGGCCATGTCCTTTTGTCCAAAAGCATCCTCAGGGAGTGAGCAGACATGCTGCTCTCTCCAAGAACACCCACCCGAGAGCTGCTGGCTGCCCTCCTGCATGCTCACGGAGCTCCTGGAGGGCACCCTGAAGCTGACACTCCGTGACACTCATTACAAATCTATTTCTCCAGGCAAGGTACCAGCTCCTCACGCTGCGTCCCACCTGCACGAGTGATGGGGAAATGGGGTGAGGTGGAGCCACTGAGAGAAGCAAGAAGCATCCTGGCTCCCTCATACGAGGGTGCAGAAGGGGGGGGCTTTGGAGACCACATGCTGCCAGACCGCAGGCTAACCACTGTGCTGAGGAGCAACACAGGCAGCAATGCCTTCTGCCCACAGCTGCCTGGTAACTTCTTCAGCTGAGCTATGATGTTCCCCATGGTCCTTCCCTCCGCCTGGGCACCGCAGACCTCCCGCTGCCGGCTAATGCCAATGGATGATGGATTTTACGACTGAATTTTGCCTGTGGCAGTGAATCACAGGCTGACAGGGAGCTCCACTGCTCAGTGCCCGCAGCAAGGCACCAGCTGAAGATGCGCTCAAGACCCCTCTCCAAAGGACACCACTCTAAGAAAGGAGGAATTCCTCAGGGACTGCTGTCCCTGGCATCCCAACAGCGATGGACATCCACAACCCAGGGCAGCCAGAGCCCCAGCTGGTGCTCTGCAAAGACCACAGGCAAATCTGAGCATCGATGGGACGCCCTGACACACTTATATCCAGGTCACTCCCATTCAGCTATTGCCAGGAAACTCTACCATGGCTATATACCAACACTAGAAGTTAAATGGAGCTTTAATTCTCTGGACCAGCACTGGGTTGCTCCTGCCACACTCTCCCATACATGGGCAGGCTCCTGGCCCTGCAGCCACGGGTGGCTGGGCTGGGCTGGAGCACCTATGGAGAAGGTGCCTCCTCGCAGCACCTCAGCAGGTAACTTTGAGAAGGCGACGCCGTATGGCGAGGAGCCTGCACGTACAAGGGTGGGAGAGGCTCGAAATGAGGCCGGGCAGGAGAAGGGAAGGCTGAGTCCACAATTTCTCACAGAGACCCCAACAACCTCCTCCTGATCATCTGGCCATTGAATCTCTGCCTCTGCTTTGAGCAGGCAGGATTTGGGCTGGGGGCACCCCAAAACAGGGCTGACACCTGTACGTGACCTCTCGGGAGCTGGTTCTGTAGCTCTAGCAGAGGTTAAACCCGAGGGTTCAATGAGCACTTTACCAACGCAAACTCTGCAGGACCAGGCCTGCCAGCACCAACCCTCTCCAGCAGCCCTGCAGAGCCTCCAAGGCTGGGCTCTGCTCAGGACAAATCTGAAGCAGCTCCACTGTCTTCAGTAGCATCACTTTGCATTTACACCAGCACACTGAACGCAAAACAGAGCAAGCCATAAATATTTCAGCTGCTTTTTCAGCTTTGTTATTCTGTTCAAAGCAGGAAACATGACAAACCTTTGATTGTTTTGCTTAATACCAAACAATAATTCAAAGAGAGACAAACAAGCAACATTAAATGATGCCTGTGATGTACAGGAAACCCAGTGGATTAGAAGAACATGATGAGGATGGCGTGGATGGGAGCAGCTCCTTGCCCTGACTTCAGCAGGGACCATGAACCCCTCCAGTGCTGGCTGACATGGGTCCATCTTGCATGGGGACAGCATGGGGACAGACACACAGACAGTGCCACGGGGCACCCTGCACTGCCTGCAGCCCCAGCACAGCCCGCTGCCTCCAGAGCAAGAGCCACCAACACCACTTTCAACAACCTTTTGGAAAAGTCCTGTGAAGGCAACGAGTGTCTCTTCCCTTGAGCATCACCACACTCAAAATCCACTTGCAAAGCAGCCACCTCCAGCCTCCCGGCAGCGTGGAGACAGCCCAGCCTGGCCCACCTGCACCCACAACCCCACCTGGGCACTTCTGAGGGTTTCTGCATCGTCTAGGGGTGAACCATCCATCCACAACCACAGGTTGGGGCTGCCTCAGCACCCGAAAGGTGATGCCTGTCATTCCCCTCTCCTTGCTCCCTCGCCCTGGGGTATCCAACACACAAAACCCACCGCTGCCCTCTTGCTCAACGTGTCATTTCGCTTACACCAACAGATCCGCACATCACTGTCCACGTGCAAGCCCCTGAGAGGTGCCCCAGGGCCACGGGCTGCCCGTCCACACTCACCTCCGGCAGCGGCATCCCGTTGATGATGAGGTCGGGCTGCTGGGGGCTCTGCCCCGTGAAGGTGTGATGGTAGATGTGGTTGGAGCCGGCGTTCCTGTTGTTCTGGCTCTCCACGTTGAGGAAGGTGCTCTCGGAGCGGCGGCAGCCCAGCGGCAGGGTCTGCTGGTGGTAGTCGAAGTAGTTGAGGGATGAAGTGAGGGAGGAGCAGCTCACAACGTTCATTTTATCCGTCTCTTCCACGTCCCGCGGTACCAGGCGAATATCATTCTTGCTGATTTTCTTCTTCTTGCTCGATTTCTTTTGATGCCCATAGGAGTATTCAGCGATTCTGGGGGACAGAATGAAAAGGAATAGCTGAGAGCATCCCAAACCCTGCCCCGCAAAACACACAGGCAGAAACCTGGAGGGCTTGGCCCCCATCTCCATGCAGGCTTCTTAGTCATGCACATTACGTCATGTTTTGGGTCTGGTGGCACGACACAGTCTTTAGCTTATTTTCATATCTACAATGCTTTTGAGTCAGATAGGAAAAGTAATGGGAAGGAGGAACAGATCTGTTTTTTCCTAGTGTTTATAATTGCTGGTATTTAGTTACTAGGAGTAAAGTCCAGCCTACAGAAGAGAAGAATGGAGACGTTAAAATCCATGAACTGAAAAGGGTACCTGCATTCATTTCCATGCATAATAAGGATTTTAAAAGTGATTTAATTTGGTCCCTGTAATGAAAATTCAAAATGAATAGTGGATTTTTTTCCCAGTTCATTTTCCATAGCAGTAAATAAAGCAGACCCAGAAGCAGCCCTAGCTGGCAAGCTCTATTCTCTCACACTCCAAAGGCTGTTTGTTTATTAACGCTTTATCCAAATTGCTGGTGTTTTGACTATCTCCTGATAATACCGGATAACTCAAAATGTTCTCCAGCCACATCCTACTCCTCCCTTGCCCCCCGACACGCAAGCCTCCTTCTGCTGGGAAATGTATTCTCCTTCTAGAAAATGAAGAACAACAACTGTGTTTTGCAAAGAGAAATGATCCTTTTTGACCTTTTTTTTTTTTTTCTGAAAGCTTGTTTTTCTCTGCCTTTCCTTCCCTCTTTGCCTCCCACCTGCCAAAAGAACCAACTGACGAAGTGCCTCATTTGCCTCCTGCAAAACATCGGAGGGAAAAAAGTTACCATAAAACACCACCCAAGCAAACAATGACAAATGTGACTGCACCCTGCATTCACTGGGTATGCTCAGCTTCGAGTGACTCCGGCTCCTGTTTCCACAGGGAGCAACACAGCTCCAGCCAATGCCCCACCGGTCAGCTTGTACATGCACAGCACTGGGCAGCTCAGTATTTCCCAGGGAAGCACATGAAATGCTACCCACAGCCAGAAACACACACTGGAAAGTCAGGATATCGCTCCTCTTCTTGTTATGATAACAGCATTTAAAAAAATAAATAATTAAATCCAATAGCTGCATCAGAAACAATGAGATTAATAAATAATATAGTTTATCTAGAAAGGCAAATATTGGACAAATATTCCTGTTCCAGAAAGCTAATTGCCTGAGCATCAAAATGCCACCAAGTTGAACAGCTCTCCTACAACCGTATATGCTTCTTAAATTAACACATTTTATGAAGAATGCCCGGCAGCTGTTGTGAAGGACCTGTAAAATCAAGCTCTGCAGCGCCTAAAGGCACGGGGAGAGGGTGCCCCGTGGTCACAGCCGCTGCTGAGCCTACCTGGTGCTTCTCTACCTCTGCAGCTGACTTCTCCTGCTCTGATGCACACTGATAACAGCCCGTGCATCCTCCTGAGCGTGCAAATAAATCAGGGGAAGGCAGGGATTTCTGTTGTGCCAACAATCTATATGCTGCTGACTCGTCTAACAATGCTTGATGAAGCTTTAATTGTTCTGTTTACCTAAATGTTTACGTTTGGCAATGCGAGAGCCCAATTATTTCCCGCAGGCATTCATTCTGCTGTCCTTTCTCTATTGACCAATTATTTAATTAAACTGCACTTCATTAATCCCTAAGCCGTCACAGTAAACCCAGGGCTTACGCATCCATGTGAAGCTGTGAGGGGCACCGCCACAATGTGATTTTTATCCATTCAGGTCCTATTCTCATTTAATGGGCCGAGCTGGCAAGAAATCTGCTATATGAGCTTTCACTTGAAGCTAGACATCCCATAATACAGCACAGACCGACCTTTATTCGCAGATTATTTTTCCCCCATCAAGCAAAACGGCTTATGAACGCACTTTACCCTGTGAAAACGGGGTATAAAACCCAAACTGCCCGGCATTATTTCTGCGTAAATAAAACTTTAAAGAGCACGCATCCCCCGGCGCCGCAGCATGGCCGGGGGCGAGCGTGCGTCTCCAAGGGAGAGCAAAATTCATTTCCATCCCTCCCCTCCGGAACGACTCGGTGCCGGAGGAATGGAGAAGTCATGGCTATTTCACCAGTAACAGGATTAAACCATTTATGAGGCATTGCAGCTGCTCTTTTATGGCATCTGATTGATATTCATGTGTGGTTAGCATTTGTCTCCTAACTTGTGTAACACAGAGAATAGTAAAAGAGAGACAATAATCGCCGGGCTGTTACATATTCAGGGGACTGGATTTCCCCTCGCAGCCTTTCAGCGGCTCCGGGCGCGGGGCTGACCTCCCCTCCGGCATTTCGGACCGGGCAGGGCGAAAACCCTCCCTCGCCCCGTCGCTCCCAGCACGACGGCCCCGCCGGGGCCCGCAGCGACGCG